CCTCTGTCACATATCTGTAAGTAGCTCGAAAAAGAGAGAACTCGTTAATTTAAAATATGACTGTAGTGAAGCTCTGAAGCTAACCTGTAGCCTTTAGCACACTACACTGTAAATTATGTTATAATACATATTTACTGTCTCATTCCAGAAAACAACAACAAACAATAAATCCTTCATGATGGAAACGCATCATGGACACCAGAGCAGCAGCTGTCTTCACTGAAAGTATCCTGAACATGATCGTCACTGACATTAGGCCTCTGTTGATGGTTGAAGATGAAGGATTCACTACAATGATCCACACTTTTAATCCAGGTTACAATGATCCACACTTTTAATCCAGGTTACAATATTCCACACTTTTAATCCAGGTTACACTCTTCCCTGAAGGACACATTTTACAAAGTAGCTAAATATTGTGCAGGTATAAAGATACATTTGTATATATTTTTGTGTACATTTATTTTTTTAAGCTATGTGACTAACTTTTATTTTTTATTATTCAATATTTTACTAACAGAATAGTCAAATAGCAACCTGTTTTTTGTGCGAATTGCTATGTCAGTCAAATGTTCAATTTTGGAATAAAGGGTGGAAATTAAAACATTTTTTTTTTCGATTCATCGATTAATCGAAAAAAAATAATCGTCCGATGAATCGATTATTGAAATAATCATTAGTTGCAGCCCTATTGTGGACCAACCATTTCTATGGTGATAAGGACAGGAGTCGATAGGAGAGAGGGTGGACTCCAGAAACCATCTTATCACCATCAAACTGGTTGGCCCACTATGTGAGTGTGCTACTTATGGAACTGAGTTTGTTGTGGCTCCTCAGACTGATGAAGTCCTTTGGATGAAGGACGTAATGTTTCAACAAACAAATAAACCATCCAGAGGACCTGACAACTTTGTTGGATGTTTTACCTGGATTATTGAGCATGAACTTTGATCTTCTGGTAAATATTTAACTGTTCAAGTTCTCAGTAACCTAAAGACTGGAGTTAACAGGAATGGCAGCCAAAGGATGGTAAATGAACTGTACTTATATAGCATCTTTCTATCTTATCATGCTACTCAAAGCTCTTTACAACACAATCTGTGCCCTCATTTATCCATACAGCACTCTACTTCTCTACAAAGAATAATCAGTGTTTTATCATATTCATACACTGATGGGACACACATCCAAGGCAATGAGGGGTTCCGTGTCTTGCCCAGGGACACTTCAGCATGTGACTGCTGGTGGAATCAAACCCCCAACTCTTGCATTGGAGGATGACTGCTCTAACCACTCAGCCACAGATGCCACTAAGCTCCAAAGGCTCAATGGTTTGAAGTTAATTTAATAACAGTAGCTGTCTTTGGATTACAGATTAGGCTTTTTGCTTCAAATAGTTCAGAGTTGTATTAAAAAAAAAATCAAGACTCTGGTGTTGTGATTTAAAAGGCTTTCATAAGAGAGAAAAAAATACAACAATTTGACCAACAAGCAGCAGCTAAACTTGGGTTTTCATCAGAGTCATTGTTCTGTGACATGTTGATATTCACTCTTACTTCCTTTCTTTTTTCAGTTTTATCATGAATGCTAGCAGGAACCCCACTCAGAGCCATACTTTGTCAAGGAAATATTTTAGTGGAGCAATTTTGCACAAGAATTGTGGAAAATGTGATAAAGCACCAAAGTGAGCATAGTTGTTCCCACAATTCTTCTGAACAATTTTACTTAACTGGCAGTCTAAAAATCCAAGATGGTTAATTTATTAGTATTATTTTATTATTAATAATATATTTATATATGTTAGTTGCATAGTAATGGACTGTACTTATACAGCACATTTCTACCTTATCAAGATACTCAGGGGTCTTTAATACACAATCTGTGCTTCATTTACCCATTCATACAGCACTCTACTAGAGCTATACAAAGGATAATCAGAGCTTTATCACATTCATACACCGATGGGACACACATCAGAGGCAATGAGGGGTTCAATGTCTTGGCCAGGAGCACTTCAGCATGTGACTACTGGTGGAATCGAATCCCCATCTCTTGCATTGGAGGACGACTGCTCTAACCACTCAGCCACAGCACAGTACATGGCTACTGACAGAAGAAAGCATAAATTGGCACAAAGATGATTTAAATTGATCAATATATGCATTACCATGCAATTACTGTACAGAAAGAAGCTCATTTTGGCAGCCACCTTGAAAAAAGGCTGCCATCTTGGAATTTCAAATGGCCAATTAGGGAGATTTACCTCAAATACTTCAAAGAAGATCAGCAAACTAAATTTGGTGCTTATATCATAATTAGCATGATTTTTAGAACATCCGCTCTACCATTAACTACCTAAAGTTCAAGACTGAGTAACAAAAAATAGGTTAAATCATTTCATCTGGACCAGTTTCTTTAAGTGATAAACGTTTTGTCCACCATCCAGAGGACTTCCTCAGTCTATGGCCTGCCAACCAGATCTGTCCCATAGGTAGCCTTCACTGCTGTGTTTCAAGCAAACCTCCTGTGGAATCTCAGAAGTAGGTGTTTAACACGTGCAAACACACAAATCCAAAACAATCAATCATCATGTACAACAACCAAATGTTTTAGGACAGATGGTCAACTTGCTACTCACAGAAACATTTAACAAGATTGAACTTTTTTGTTGCTATCTACCTGGATGATTGAGCTTACAACACTTTCTCTAAGACTGGGTGTTTTTCTACTTTTTTTTTTAATTTTTTTCAGTGTAGGTCTTTTTTAACAACTGATTGACTGAAACCTGTCCAGGGTGTCCCTGTGATGGACTGAGACCTGTCCAGGTGTCCCTGTGATGGACTGGAGACTTGTCCAGGTGTCCCTGTGATGGACTGAGACCTGTCCAGGTGTCCCTG